ACAATAAGTTGAACAATGGGAGTTGAACAAGGTAATAGGGTTGAACAGATAGGAGTTGAACAGATAGGAGTTGAACAGATAAGAGTTGAACAGATAAGAGTTGAACAGATAGAGTTGAACAGATAGGAGTTGAACAGATAAGAGTTGAACAGATAGAGTTGAACAGATAGGATTGAACAGATAGGAGTTGAACAGATAGAGTTGAACAGAAAGAGTTGGAACAGTATAGGAGTTGAACAGATAAGAGTTGAACAGATAGAGTTGAACAAGATTATAGGAGTTGAACAGATAAAGTTGAACAGATAGGAGTTGAACAGATAAGGAGTTGAACATATAAGAGTTGAACAGTAGGAGTTGAAGCAGATAGAGTTGAACAGATAGAGTTGAACAGATAGAGTTGAACAGATAGGAGTTGAACAGATGAGAGTTGAACAGATAGGAGTTGAACAGATAAGAGTTGAACAGAAAGGAGTTGAACAGATAGGAGTTGAACAGATAAGAGTTGAACAGATAAGAGATGAACGATAAGGAGTTGAACAGATAGGAGTTGAACAGATAGGAGTTGAACAGATAGAGTTGAACAGATAGGAGTTGAACAGATAGAGTTGAACAGATAGAGTTGAACAGATAAAGAGTTGAACAGATAAGAGTTGAACAGATAAGAGTTGAACAGATAGAGTTGAACAGATAGAGTTGAACAGATCGGAGTTGAACAGATAGGAGTTGAACAGATAGGAGTTGAACAGATAGGAGTTGAACAGATAAGAGTTTGAACAGATAAGAGTTGAACAGATAGGAGTTGAACGATAAGAGTTGAACAGATAGAGTTTGAACAGATAAGAGTTGAACATATAAGAGTTGACAGATGGAGTTGAACAGATAGGAGTTGAACAGATAAGAGTTGAACAGATAGGAGTTAACAGATGGAGTTGAACAGATAGATTGAACAGATAGGAGTTGAACAGATAGAGTTGAACAGATAGGAGTTGAACAGATAAGAGTTGAAACAGATAAGAGTTGAACAGTATGAGTTGAACAATAGGAGTTGAACAGATAGAGGTTGAACAGATAAGAGTTGAACAGTATAGGAGTTGAACAGATAAGAGTTGAACAGATAGGAGTTGAACAGATAAGATTGAACAGATAGGAGTTGAACAGATAAGAGTTGAACAATAAAGTTGAACATAGAGTTGAACAGATAAGAGTTGAAGCAGATAGGAGTTGAACAGATAGGAGTTGAACAGATAGAGTTGAACAGATAGTTGAACAATAGAGTTGAACAGATAGGAGTTGAACAGATAAGATTGAACAGATAGGAGTTGAACGATAAGTTGAACAGATAGGAGTTGAACAGATAGGAGTTGAACAGATAAGATTGAACAGATAGAGTTGAACAGATAAGAGTTGAACAGATAAGGGGTAGGAGTTGAACAGATAGAGTTGACAGATAGAGTTGAACAGGATAAAGATTGAACAGATAGAGTTGAACAATAGGAGTTGAACAGATAAGAGTTGAACAGATAGAGTTGAACAATAGAGTTGAACAGATAGGAGTTGAACAGATAGAGTTGAACAGATAGAGTTGAACAGATAAGAGTTGAACAGATAAGAGTTGAACAGATAGAGTTGAACAGATAAGAGTTGAACAGATAAGATTTTTAACAGATAGGAGTTGAACATATAGGAGTTGAACAGATAGGAGTTGAACAGATAAGAGTTGAACAGATAGGAGTTGAACAGATAGAGTTGACAGATAGGAGTTGAACAGATAAGAGTTGAACAGATAGAGTTGAACAGATGATTGAACAGATAGGAGTTGAACAGTAAGAGTTGAACAGATAAGAGTTGAACAGATGGAGTTGAACAGATAGAGTTGAACAGATAGATTTTAACATAAGGAGTTGAACAAGGAGTTGAACAGATAAGAGGGTTTAACAGATAGGAGTTGAACAGAAAAAGATTGAACAGATAGGAAATTTGAACAGATAGAGTTGAAAAATAAGAGTTGAACAGATGAGTTGAACCCGATAAGGGGTTGAACAGATGATGAACAGTGAGTTGAACATAGGTTGAACAGATAATGAAAAGATAGAGTTGAACGATAGGTTGAACAGAAAGAGTTTACAGATAGAGTTGAACAATAAATTGAAAGATAGGATTGAACGATAGGGGTTGAACAGTAAGAGTTTAAAAATGGAGTTGAAAGAAAGTAACAGAAAGGGGGTTGAACAGATAAGTTAAAGATAGAGTTTAAAATAAGAATTTAACGATAGGAGTTGAACAGATAGGGGTTGAACAGATAGAGTTGAACAAATAAAGTTGAACAGATAGGAGTTGAACAGATAAAGTTGAACAGATAGGAGTTTTAACAGATAGAGTTGAACAGATAGGAGTTTAACCTAGGAGTTGAACAAAAGGAGTTGAACAGATAAGAGTTGAACAGATAAGAGTTTTAACAGAGAAGAGTTGAACAGATAGGGTTTAACAGATAAGAGTTGAAAAATAGGGGTTGAACAGATAGGGGTTACCCAAAAGGGGTTGAACATATGGAGTTGAACAATAGGAGTTTACAGATAGGAGTTGAACAATAAGATTTGAACAGATAAGATTGAACAGATAAGAGTTGAACAGATAGAGTTGAACAGATAAGATTTTTAACAGATAGAGTTGAACAGATAGGATTGAACAGATAAGAGTTGAACAGATAAGATTTTAACAGATAGGAGTTGAACAGATAGGGGATAAACCGATAGAGTTGAACAATAGAGTTGAACAGATAGGATTGAACAGATAAGAGTTGAACATAAGAGTTGAACAGATGGAGTTTGAAACATAGGAGTTGAACAGATAGGGGTTGAACAGATAGGGGTTGAACAGATAGGGGTTTTAACATAGGAGTTGAACGTATAGGAGTTGAACAGATAAGAGTTTTAACAATAGGATTTTAACAGATAAGAGTTGAACAGATAGAGTTGAACAGATAAGATTGAACATATAAGAGTTGAACAGATAGGAGTTGACCCGATAAGATTTTAACAGATAAGAGTTTGAACAATAGGATTGAACAGATAAGAGTTTTAACAGATATAGTTGAACAGATAGGAGTTGAACAGATAGGAGTTGAACAGATAAGAGTTAACAATAGGGGTTGAACAGATAAGAGTTGAACAAAAGGAGTTTTAACAGATAGGAGTTGAACAGATAAGAGTTGAACAGATAAGAGTTGAACAATAGGAGTTGAAACAATAGGAGTTGAACAGATAGGAGTTGAACAGATAAGAGTTGAAAAGATAGGGGTTTAACATAGGGGTTGAACAGATAGAGTTGAACGATGGGGTTAACAATAAAGTTGAAAAATAGGTTTGAACAGATAAGATTAACAAAAAGTTGAACATGGAGTTAACAGATAGGAGTTGAACAATAGAGTTGAAATAGGTTGAACAATAACGATTGAACAATAGATTGAACAATAGAGTTAACAATAAATTGAACGATAAGAGATAACAATAAGAATACCATGGAGTTGAACAAAAAGTTGAAAAAGGATTGAAAGATAAAAGTTTAACAGATAGAGTGAACAATGAGTTGAACGATAGGTTGAACGATAGGGGTTTGAAAGTAGAGTTGAACAGATAAGAGTTTAACATATAATTAACAATAAGAGTTGAACAGAGAGTTGACCGATGGAGTGAAAAGATAGATTGAACAGATAGTTGACAGATAGGAGTTGAACAGATAAGGGGTTAACAATAGAGTTGAACAGATGGATTTGGTTTGCTATGATCCAACTCTGACAGTGACTCAAAACATAATTTCAGACATGAAAATGTGACCCTCATCTATGGAGTAACAACTTTTCAAACAATCTCAAAATAAATCAACAACATCACCGAGTCATCCTCCCACTGACATCTGAAGGGATAGAATTACCAGAAGGCCCAAAGCCACAATTATATTGACTTCAAGTCCACTCTATTCATTATATTTCTATGGGCCAGCCGAAGACACTGTGTCACAGAGAAACAATCATACGGTGTCCATATTAGGACAGCCTCAGTTGGTGTCACACTGACTCCCTTTGTGTCTCTGACGCTGGCCGTAATATGGGGTCCTAATCTGGACATCGTACATGCCACATCTGTCTCTACTTTTCCAAGCCCAGTCAGTGGCATGAAACATCTGGCGTCCGTCGCCTGTGGTGGGGAAACCTCTGCCGCACCCAGCAGGAATCCTGGTTAAGCTTGGCTAAAGACTGACCCCCTACCCAACCCACGACCTCCCAGCAGATGGAGGGTAAGGAGAGGGGTGGAGGGATAGAGGGTGAGGAGTGGCGGAGAGATGGGATGGGTGGAGGTGTGGAGGTTGAGGAAGGAGAGGAAAGGTTGGTGTGTGTTAGTGAGGAGGGGTGGAGGTATGGGTTGTGTGTTGTTGAGGCGCAGAGGAGGCTGGTAGGAGGAGATATAGGAGGACACGCTCGTTGTAATGGCTGGAATGGAATAAATGAAACGGTATCAAACACATCAAAACACATAGAACATCACTATGGAAACCACATGTTTGACTCCGTTCCATTAATTACTTTCGGGCCAATACAATGAGCCCATCCTCCTATAGCTCCTCCCACCAGCCTCCACTGGTGAGGAGAGATGGAGACAGAGGGGTGGATGTGTGACATCACAATAGTACCAATGAAGAGGATAGGATGGAACAGAGAAGAGAGAGAGAAGAGAGAGAGAGAGAGAGAGAGGAGAGAGAGAGAGAGAGACGAGAGAAGAGAGAGAGAGAGAGAGAGAGAGAGAGGAGAGGAGAGAGAAGGAAAGAGATAGAGAGAGAGAGAGAGAGAACACGAGAGAGAGAGAGAGAGAGAGAGAGAGAGAGAGAGAGAGAGAGAGAGAGAGAGAGAGAGAGATAGAGAAAGAGAGAGAGAGAGAGAGAGAGAGAGAGAGAGAGAGAGAGAGAGAGAGAGAGAGAGAGAGAGAGAGGTGGAGCTGAGAGAGACCTTAAGCTGAGAGAGAGAGAGAGAGAGAGGTGGAGCTGAGACACAGACAGAGAAGAATAGAAATGCCTTAGCTTGGTTTGGCCCGGTTAGTGCTCTGTCTCTTACCTGGATCTCTCAGTATGAGCTGGGCCATAGCCTGGGCGTTCCCTGCTTCATTCTCAGCCACACACTGATAGAAGCCTTCGTCTGACTTCACCAGACCAAGGATCTGGAGGTTACTGCCGTCCTAAAGAGGAAAATACAACACAGTTATTATAAATCAAATCAAACTTTATTAGTCACATGCGCCGAATATAACAGATGTAGACCTTACTGTGAAATGCTTACTTACAGGCCCTTAACCAACAATGCAATTCAAGAAAGAGTTAAGAAAACATTTACCAAAATAAAAAATAATAAAAAGTAACACAATCAAATAACAATAACGAGGCTATATACATTAATGTACCGGTTACGAGTCAATGTGCGGGGGTACAGGTTAGTCGGGCCCCCTTGTAGCTCAGTTGGTAGAGCATGGCGCTTGTAACGCCAGGGTTGTGGGTTTGCTTCCCATGGGGGGCCAGTATGAAAACAAATTAAACAAATAATGCATGCACTCACTAACTGTAAATTGCTCTGGATAAGAGTGTCTGCTAAATGACTAAAATGTAATTTGTACATATAAGTGGGGAAAAAGTTACTATGCATTGATAATAGACAGTGCGTAGCAGCAGTGTAAAAACAAAATGGGGGGGTGTCAATGTAAATAGTCTGGGTGGCCATTTGATTAATTGTTCAGCAGTCTTATGGCTTGGGGGTAGAAGCTGTTAAGGAGCCTTTTGGTCCTAGACTTGGCACTCCGGTACCGCCTGCTGTGCGGTAGCAGAGAGAGCAGTCTATGACTTGGGGGACTGGAGTCTTTGACAATATTTTCTGACACCGCCTGGTATAGAGGTCCTAGATAGCAGGAAGCTTGGCCCCAGTGATGTACTGGGCCGTACGCACTACCCTATGTAGCGCCTTACAGTCAGATGCCAAGCAGTTGCCATACCAGGCGGTGATGCAACCGGTCAGGATGCTCTCGATTGTGCAGCTCTAGAACATTTTGAGGATCTGGGGGGGAAAAGGTGTTCTCGGTTCCTCTTCACGACTGTCTTGGTGTTTTTGGACCATAATAGTTTGTTGGTGATATGGACACCAAGGAACTTGAAACTCTCGACCTGCTCCACTACAGACCCGTCGATGTTAATGGGGACCTATTTGGCCCGCCTTTCCTGTAGTCCACAATCAGATCCTTTGTCTTGCTCACATTGAGGGAGAGGTTGTTGTCCTGGCACCACACTGCCAGGTCTCTGACCTCCTCCCTATAGGCTGTCTCATCGTCGTCGGTGATCAGGCCTACCACTGTTGTGTCATCAAACTTAATGATGGTGTTGGAGTCATGTTTGGCCACGCAGTAGTGGGTGAACAGGGAGTACAGGAGGGGACTAAGCACACACCCCTGAGGGGCCCCAGTGTTGAGGATCAGCGTGGCAGACGTGTTGTTGCCTACCCTTACCACCTGGGGGAGTCCAGGATCCAGTTGCAGAGGGAAGTGTTTTGTCCCAGGGTCCTTAGCTTAGTGATGAGCTTTGTGGGTATTATGGTGTTAAATGCTGAGCTGTAGTCAATGAACAGCATTCTCACATAGGTGATCCTTTTGTCCAGGTGGGAAAGGGCAGTGTGGAGTGCGATTGAGATCGCGTCATCTGTGGATCTGTTGGGGCGATATGCGAGTTGGAGTGGGTGTAGGGAATCCGGGATGATGCTTTTGATGTGAGCCATGACCAGCCTTTCAAAGCACTTCATGGCTACCAACGTGAGTGCTACAGGGTGGTAATCATTTAGGGAGGTTACCTTCACTTCCTTGGGCACAGGGACTATGGTGGTCTGCTTGAAACATGTAGGTATTACAGACTCAGTCAGGGAGAGGTTAAAAATGTCAGTGAAGACACTTGCCAGCTGGTCCGCACATGCTTTGAGTACACGTCCTGGTAATCTGAATGTTGACCTGTTTAAAGGTCTTGCTCACATCGGCTACCGAGAGCGTTATCACACAGTCGTCTGGAACAGCTGGTGCTCTCATGCATGCTTCAGTGTTGCTTGCCTCGAAGCGAGCATAAAAAGCATTTAGCTCGTCTGGTAGGCCCAGGGGCAGCTTGTGGCTGGGTTTCCCTTTGTAGTCCGTAATAGTTTTCAAGCCCTGCCACATCCGACGAGTATCAGAGCCGGTGTAGTACGATTCAATCTTAATCCTGTATTGATGCTTTGCCTGTTTGATGGTTCGTCTGAGGGCGTAGCGGGTTTCTTATAAGCGTCCGGACTAGAGTCCTGCTTCTTGAAAGCGGCAGCTCTACCCTTTAGCTCGATGCGGATGTTGCCTGTAATCCATGGCTTCTGGTTGGGATATGTACTTACGGTCACTGTGGGGACGACGTCGTCGATGCACTTATTGATGAAGCCGATGACTGAGGTGGTAGACTCCTCAATGCCATTGGATGAATCCCGGAAAATAGTCCGTGCCAGCAAAACAGTCCTGTAGCGTAGCATCCGTGTCATCTGACCACTTCCGTATTGAGCGAGTCACTAGTACTTCCTGCTTTAGTTTTTGCTTGTAAGCAGGAATCAGGAGGATATAATTATGGTCAGATTTGCCAAATGGAGGGCTAGGGAGAACTTTGTATGCGTCTCTGTATGTGGAGTAATGTGACATGCTGGTAGAAATGAGGTAAAACTGATTTAAGTTTGCCTGCATTAAAGTCCCCGGCCACTAAGAACGCCATTTCTGGATTAGCATTTTCTTGTTTGCTTATGGCCTTATACAGCTTGTTGAGTGCGGTCTTAGTACCAGCATCGGTTTGTGGTTTTAAATAGATGGCTACGAATAATATAGATGAGAACTCTCTTGGTAGATAGTGGGTCTACAGTTTATCATAAGGTACTCTACCTCAGCCGAACAATACCTCGAGACTTCTTTAATATTAGACACCAACTGTTATTGACAAATAGACACACACCCCCGCCCCTCATCTTACCAGACGTAGCTGCTCTGTCCTGAAGATGCATGGAAAATTCCGCCAGCTTTATATTATTTGTGTTGTCGTTCAGCCACGACTCGGTGAAACATAAGATTGTACCGTTTTTAATGTCCCGTTGGTAGGATAATCTTAATCGTAGATCATCCAGTTTATTTTCCAATGATTGCACGTTGGCCAATAGTACGGATGGTAGTGGAGGTTTGCTCACTCGGACCCGTTCCCGAGAAAGCAGTATATCCTTCGCATCGGACTCATTAAATAAAACATCTTCGTCCAGTTCGAGGTGAGTAATCGCTGTTCTGATGTCCAGAAGTTATTTTCGGTCATAAGAGACGGTAGCAGCAACATTATTTACACAATATGTTAAAAAATAAGTTACAAACAACACGAAAAAACTAACAACATAGCACAGTTGATTAGGAGCCTGTAAAACGGCAGCCATCCCCTCCGGCGCCATTATCCAATAGATGGCAGTATGCTATATATGGGTTACCATTTAAAAGTAAGCTGTTTCTATTTTCTATGCAATCTGGATCAAAAGCTGATTGTCATCGATTCTTGAAATAGTCAGATCTTTGAGTTGACTTCTACACAGTTACAGAATGGGTTTTGATGTATAAATTGTCTCTTGGGGGTATCCAGCCTTCCTAGCCCCCCTGTAATTCAAACGTCACATCTGTTGATTCAAGGTCATCAGAGTGGTGTTCATGGTCCTGTGTCTTGTGTGATTTACAACCGTCAGGAAGTATTCACTGGGTATGTGCATGGCATTATATGGCATTACATGGTTTACAACCCCCCCCACACACACACACACACACAAGCACACAGAGGCTGTGTTCTATGTGACTTACAACGATCTGGAAGTAGTCACTGGGGATAACGTCCTCTCCATTCTTCATCCAGCGCACCGTGGGAGGAGGGTTCCCCGTTACAGCACACTCGAGCTCCATGTCCATACTCTCATAGGAATACGTGTTGGTAGGGTAGTTCAGGAACTGGGGTGGCACTGTAGAGAGAGAGACACACAGGGTTAGGGTTACAGTTACGGTTGGGGTTAGGCATACGTGTTGGTGGAGTAGTTCAGAAACTGTGGAGAGAGTGACGGGTAAGGGTTAGGATTAGGATTAGACGTAGGTGGATGTTTTAGAGTTCTGTGTACGGTTGTTGGTTAGGGTTAGGATTAGGATTATACGTAGGTGTAGGTTTAAATGTATGTGTACGGTTGTTGGTTAGGGCTGGGGTTAGGATCTGTGTTTGTCCTGTGGAGATAGAGAAGAAACAGAACACAGCAGGTGTTCAGATCTTCCCTAAAGAGACAGAGACAAACAGGTGGGTGATGACAGTGGACGCAAGACAGACCCCGTCTCTGGGGATGAAATCGTCGATACCACTTCTATATTGATACTAATATGACATCCTTGATGTATTCCTTTTAGTTCCTCGTTGATACTACTATAAAGCTGTGGTGTAAAGTACTGAAGTAAAAATAATTTAAAGTACTACTTAATTAAGTAGTTTTTTGAGGTATCTGTACTTTAATTTACTATTTCTATTTTTGACAACTTTTACTTTTACTTCACTGCATTCCTAAAGAAAATAATGTACTTTTTACTCCATACATTTTCCCCTGACACCCAAAAGTACTCGTTACATTTTGACAGGAAAATAGTCAATTTCACACACTTATCAAGAGAACATCCCTGGTCATCCCTACTGCCACTGCCTTGAGGTGTTCATTCATGACTAATTAAACACAAATGCTTCGTTTGTAAATGGTGTCTGAGTGTTGGAGTGTGCCCCTGGCTATCCGTCAATAAAAATGTAATAAAAATGTGCCGTCTGGTTTGCTTAATGTAAGGAATTTGAAATGATTTATAGTTTTACTTTTACTTTTGATACTAAACTACATTTTAGCAATTCCATTTACTTTTGATACTTAAGTATATTTAAAACCAAATACTTTTAGACTTTTACTCAAGTAGTATTTTACTGTGTAACTTTCACTTTTACTTGAGTCATTTTCTAAGGTATCTTTACTTTTACTCAAGTTAGACAACTGAGTACTTTTTCCACCATTGCTATAAAGGTAGCTATTGATGATACTATAAAGGTAGCTATTGATGCTACTATAAAGGTAGCTATTGATGCTACTATAAAGGTAGCTATTGATGCTACTATAAAGGTAGCTATTGATGCTACTATAAAGGTAGCTATTGATGCTACTATAAAGGTAGCTATTGATGCTACTATAAAGGTAGCTATTGATGCTACTATAAAGGTAACTATTGATGCTACTATAAAGGTAGCTATTGATGCTACTATAAAGGTAACTATTGATGCTACTATAAAGGTAGCTATTGATGCTACTATAAAGGTGGCTATTGATGCTATTATAAAGGTAGGTATTGATGCTACTATAAAGGTAGCTATTGATGCTACTATAAAGGTAGCTATTGATGCTCCTATAAAGGTAGCTATTGATGCTTCTATAAAGGTAGCTATTGATGCTACTATAAAGGTAGCTATTGATGCTACTATAAAGGTAGCTATTGATGCTACTATAAAGTTAGCTATTACATGTGTTGGAACCTTTGGAACCTTTGATTTTGTTTTGTGTAGACTCTAATCTTTGATTATCAAGCAGGACACACCTCTCTCCTGTGTTGACATAATGTTGTTTGTATTGTTGTCTCTACCTTCTTGCCCTTTGTGCTGTTGTCTGTGCCCAATACTGTTTGTACCATGTTTTGTGCTGCTATAAGGTTGTGCTGCTGCCATGTTGTGTTGCTACCTTGCTGTGTTGTCATGTGTTGCTGCCATGCTAGGTGCTTGTCTTAGGTCTCTCTTTATGTAGTGTTGTGGTGTCCCTCTTTATGTAGTGTTGTGGCGTCTCTCTTTATGTAGTGTTGTGGTGTCTCTCTTTATGTAGTGTTGTGGTGTCTCTCTTTATGTAGTGTTGTGGTGTCTCTCTTTATGTAGTGTTGTGGTGTCTCTCTTTATGTAGTGTTGTGGTGTCTCTCTTTATGTAGTGTTGTGGGTGTCTCTCTTTATGTAGTGTTGTGGTGTCTCTCTTTATGTAGTGTTTGTGGCGTCTCTCTTATGTAGTGTTGTGGCGTCTCTCTTTATGTAGTGTTGTGGTGGCTCTCTTTATGTACGTGTTTGGTGGTGTCTCTCTTTATGTAGTGTTGTGGTGTCTCTCTTTATGTAGTGTTGTGGTGTCTCTCTTTATGTAGTGTTGTGGCGTCTCTCTTTATGTAGTGTTGTGGTGTCTCTCTTTATGTAGTGTTTGTGGCGTCTCTCTTTATGTAGTGTTTGTGGTGTCTCTCTTTATGTAGTGTTTGTGGTGTCTCTCTTTATGTAGTGTTGTGGTGTCTCTCTTTATGTATTTTTGTGGTGTCTCTCTTTATGTGTGTTGTTGGTGTCTCTCTTTATGTAGTGTTGTGGTGTCTCTCCTTTATGTAGTGTTGTGGTGTCTCTCGTTATGTAGTGTTGTGGCGTCCTCTCTTTATGTAGTGTTGTGGTGTCTCTCTTTATGTAGTGTTGTGGCGTCTCTCTTTATGTAGTGTTGTGGAGTCTCTCTTTATGTAGTGTTGTGGTGTCTCTCTTTATGTAGTGTTGTGGAGTCTCTCTTTATGTAGTGTTGTGGTGTCTCTCTTTATGTAGTGTTGTGGTGTCTCTCTTTATGTAGTGTTGTGGTGTTCTCTTTATGTAGTTTGTGGTGTCTCTCTTATGTAGTGTTGTGGTGTCTCTCTTTATGTAGTGTTGTGGTGTCTCTCTTTATGTAGTGTTGTGGTGTCTCTCTTTATGTAGTGTTGTGGTGTCTCTCTTATGTAGTGTTGTGGGTCTCTCTTTATGTAGTGTTGTGGTGTCTCTCTTTATGTAGTGTTGTGGGTCTCTCTTTATGTAGTGTTGTGGTGTCTCTCTTTATGTAGTGTTGTGGTGTCTCTCTTTAGTGTGATGTGTGTGTTGTATTTATTTATTATGTTGTTTCCCGCCTCTATGTCCGTGGGTTGTCCTCTTTGCAGTATTTGTGGTGCCTACTCATTTATGTAGTTTGTGGTGTCATCATATTTATGAGTTGTTTCTTTTGCATCTTTGTAGTTTGTGGTTGTATTCTTTATGCAAGTTTGGGTACCTCTGTCGTGATGGATTGGTTAGTTCCAATTTTATTTATTAGATTTTTCAAACCAGGTGCAGAGCTTTGACCTGTCAAAAGTATATTTACCATGTTGCTACTCATGAAATAAGAATGTGTTCAACGGACTTGCCTAATTAAATAAAGGTTAAAACAAACAATTAAAATCACCAAATACCAAAACAACACACACACCCACCACCTAAAACATACAACCGTCCACAATACACTCAAAGACTCCGAACAGAAACATCTTGTGTACTATTTAACTTGTGTGGGATTACATTGAGACTTTCAATATTGTTCTAACCACCCTACCCTAGACCCTGGATCAAACCAATCACCCTGACTCCTACCAATATTAAAACAGCTTCTCAAACCAACCTATCTCCCTACCCTAGCTCAACCAACCCTACCTAACCACTCAACAACACCACAACACCACCACACACACCAACCAACACAACCCACCACCCTAACCCAACAGCCTACACCCACCCTACCTAAAACCCACACCCACCCAACCCAAAACCTAACAAAACACCCAACACACCTAGTCCTAACTTAACCCTGTCCAACAATCAGCCTTCAAACCCTAACCCTAACCCTAACCCTAACCCTAACCCTAACCTAACCCTAACCCTAGCTCCTAACCCCTAACCCTAGCTCCTAACCCTAACCCTAACCTAACCCTAACCCTAACCTACTAGCTCCTAACCCTAACCCTAGCTCCTAACCCTAACCCTAGCTCCTAAACCCTAGCTCCTAACCCTAACACCTAGCTCCTAACCCTAACCCTAACCCTAACCCCTAACCCTAACCTAACCTAGCTCCATCCTAACCCTAACCCTAGCTCCTAACCCTAACCCTAACCCTAGCTCCTAACCCTAACCCTAGCCCTAACCTAACCTAGCTCCTAACCCTAACCCTAACCCTAGCTCCTAACCCTAACCTAACCCTAACCCTAGCTCCTAACCCTAACCCTAACCCTAGCTCATAACCCTAACCCTAGCTCCTAACCCTAACCCTAACCCTAGCCCTAACCATAGCACCTAACCCTAACCCTAGCTCCTAACCCTAACCCTAGATCCTAACCCTAACCCTAACCCTAACCCTAGCTCCTAACCCTAACCCTAACACTAATTCTAACCTTAACACTATTGTGGGGAATTCTAAGACACGCACATAAACACACACACACACACACACACACACACACACACACACACACACACACACACACACACACACACACACACACACACACACACACACACACACACATAAACATACACACACAAACCCCCCTGCACTCTCTCCCCATCACACCAGTTATCTTCCTCAACTGCAGACAGTACTCACAATGACAAAGTCTTCCTCAGACACACTATGACAGTCAGACTTCCCCAGACACACTATGACAGTCAGACTTCCCCAGACACACTATGACAGTCAGACTTCCCCAGACACACTATGACAGTCAGACTTCCCCAGACACACTATGACAGTCAGACTTCCTCAGACACACTATGACAGTCAGACTTCCCCAGACACACTATGACAGTCAGACTTCCTCAGACACACTATGACAGTCAGACTTCCCCAGACACACTATGACAGTCAGACTTCCTCAGACACACTATGACAGTCAGACTTCCACAGACACACTATGACAGTCAGACTTCCACAGACACACTATGACAGTCAGACTTCCTCAGAACAACTATGACAGTCAGACTTCCTCAGACACACTATGACAGTCAGACTTCCTCAGAACAACTATGACAGTCAGACTTCCTCAGACACACTATGACAGTCAGACTTCCTCAGAACAACTATGACAGTCAGACTTCCTCAGACACACTATGA